GTTTAATTTCACGCGAGCAAAAAGATGAAACAGACCGTATTTGATACTTATTGTGTTAAAATATAGAAAGTAAAATATGGCATAATACAAAATAACAGTAACTCCAAATAACATTTTCATTTTTAATCGACGTTTCGACTAGTTTGTAGTTATCCTCAGGATTAATTGGCCCGCAAGGTTTTGGCCCCAGAGGGCCAAAACCCGGGGAGGCATATAATGAAATCCCCGCACGTAATATGGGGAATCCCCGCACGTATATATATATATATATATATATATATAGGTAAGTGATTGATATATGCCATGAGTAAATGAAATGAACAAACTGTCTGATTTTCTAGCCAAAACACAAGCAAATATTGCCGCTGAAAAGGAAAATAAGCGACGTGACGCGAAACGTATCGAAGAAAAGCATAACAGGGAAGTAATTCGAGACCAAGAAAGATTACAAGCAAAGTTTAGAATCACGGAGAAGAAGCTAGAAATGGAAAAAGCTGCAAGATCAACTCTAGGTAAACTTCCTAAATTGAAAATCACATAATTTAATGGAACAACAGCAGACTGGGTAAGGTTTGAAAACATGTTTATTACACAAGTCGATTCTAATTAAGCCAATTAGTGATGAGGAAAAGTTTGGCTATTTTCTCGAAATGGTGAGTGGAAAAGTGAGGGATAAGATCTCAAACGGAACTCAATTGGATATAAAACAGCTTGGGAACGACTCAAAAAAGAGTACGGTCAAACAAGTTGGTTGTGAATGCACATATTGATGAAGTAGTAAATTTACCCACAGTACGAGGGTCCTCCTATGAAAAGATATTGGCTTTCTACGAACGTTTGAGCAAGAACTATGACGCTTACAGACTCTCGGTGAGCATGAGAAATTAGATGGATTTCTGATGTGTACTATTAATAAGTGAAGTCAGACTTGGTAAGGACTGATGAAGATTGGGAGGAATGGAAAATGGAGAACTTAGTTGATAGTCTGCAAAAATGGTTACGAAGAAACAAAACTGAAGAAGATAAATCCACAGGTGACCCAAGAAGAAGAGAGAAAAACTTGTTTGCACGTAAAGGAGGTAAAGAGAACGAAAGAGGAAAAAAGATACCTTGTTGTATGTTCTGTAAAGCTGAACACTGGAGTGATATGTGCAAGTCTTATGTAACCACAGCTCAAAGAAAGGCTTACTTCGGTGAGAACAGTTTATGCTTCAATTGCGGTAGCCCAGGACATATGGTTAGACATTGTCGGAGTCGTGGGTGCTATCACTGTGGGGAGAAACATCATACCAGTTTACATGACCAGAAAGAGAACAAAGGTGATGCATCGTACAGTACTAACGGGCTATTCAACAATCGAATCATTAGATGGATCAGCCAAGAAAGAAATAGAGCTAGCCGGGTCTACAATGGAAGATTTCACAACAGTGAAAAGACCGAACATGAACAAACTTAAATGGAATTATGAACACACAAAGGATAAGAGGTTTTACATGACAACAGAGGGTGAATGCCCAATACACATGATCTTAGATGACAACACCTTCTGCAAGATTAAGACAGAGGAAATCTACAAGGGGAAAGATGGCGATCCTATGGTTGAAGGTACTTCGTTTGGTTGGATTGTTCATGGCGGAGATATTTCGAACAATGTATGTATGTTTACAAGAGAATCAAATGACTACGATGGAATTGGAGTTGAAGATAGAGGGGAGAACGACCAGTTGGGCGCTTATCATGAGTTTACAGAAAACATTACTCGGGCTGATGAGGGTAGATATCAAGTCAAAGTACCATGGATTCCAGGACAGTCTCTACCAAATAGCAATCTAGAACCAAGTGGAAAACGATTAGCTAACGTGTGCAAAAAGATCGAGCGAGATGAGAAGTTAAAGAACAGTTATGATGAAATAATCGAGAAGCAATTAGAGTCGGGTATCATGGAAGGTGCACCAGTGAAACCGAATGGTGAACGCACTTGCCTGCAATTTCCTTGATTTTAATTTGATGACCGCCAGTTAAATGTTGATCATAAGCGCATTAAAATCCTTAGAAACCTCCGTCAGAAATACGCCATCTTAAGCCCCGTCAAAGGCAGTGGAGTCGTTTTACTCAAGAAATACGATTATCAATCATGCACGACCGGACTTTTCGCTGATAAAACCAAATTTACCAAACTTAAATCAGATCCAACCCTCACTCAACTAACAACCCTCCAAACTTACCTAAGAACTATTTATAATCGTGGAGAAATTACAGGTTAGAAATTACTCTGAAGTACAACCTCAATCTACTCAGCCAGCCCGAGCTCATGGCCTTCCTAAAACCCATGAAGACTTTGATACTTTACCACCATTCCGTCCCATCATTGGTACCGGTACTGCGTATCAACCGATTGCCAAGTACCGAAGAGTCCTCAATCCTCTAACCATGAATGCCCACACCTTAAAAGACAGTTTTGAAGCTGTTTCTCGAATCCAGAACATACCAGAAAACCCAACCTCGTTCCCAGGCGAGGTTGCAGAAAACCTTTTCAGAGACGGTTACAGATTTGTTTCGTTTGACGTTAAGTCCCTATTGGGCCTATTCACTAATGTCCACCTTAAGAAAACCATCGAAAGTTATCAAATTTCACGCCCACTATGCTGGCTGTACGCTATAGTCCTCGCAAAACCGTCTGATATCCCAATCATTCTACAAGCCTTCAACTCATTTTGGCCCTCAAATACAGTTTACATTCGAAGATTTCCCTGACAACAACGTACACTTTCTTGACCTAAAGATTAAAGGCCATGTTACACGGTGCAATTTTTCTTGCAACTTGCAATGCAATTCTACTCTTGAGAGATGTTAATTAGTGAAATCAGTGAAGAATTTTCGATATGTTGAGAAAACATCGGCGGAGTGTAATGAAGACTCGTATTTGGCAATTTTACATTTCTCAAGAGTAAAATTGCATTGCAAGTTGCAAGAAAAATTGCACCGTGTAACATGGCCTTAACTCCTCGGACATAACTATTTCTAAATATTTAAGTCCACACACACCGGTCAATACACGCAGTCTAGTTTCACGCCTTGGTCGCGCAAAACAGCATGGATAAGAGCCCTAATCAACATACAAGATATGTAACAATGATCAACTATTGAAGTTAGAACTCAAGACTTTACGGGATTTCATGTCCTGGAACGGTTTCTCTCGCAACCTGACAAAGAAAATAATTAATGCATGCCTTTACACCAAACCCGGAAAGAAGCAATAATATCCCACACGTTGACCTTACATAACACACAACACCTGATAATCTACCCAAAATATGGATAAGACTTCCCATTTATTGGCAAATATGGCAATATTTTGACCAAAAAGTTTATCAACAAAACTCGCCGTTTACTAAAGAGTCCGTGTAAATTTATTAAGTTTAAATCGGCAAACCACGAAATCCAATTGTTTCCTGTCCTGCAAAGACAAGACACCAGATGAATACAAAAGCCCCGTTGTATATGAATTTTCATGTCCGGGTTGTCGAAGCACCTACTCAGCATAGGTAAAACAGGCCGCTGTCTACATATATACGTCTTAAAGAGAATAGCACGCGATCGAGGAAACTCGGAAATCAACGCCCACATCAACTGTTGCGAACATTTTCAACACATCAAATCCCTTATAAAATTTTTTAGAACCACTGAGTATTTTAAAATAAAATACAAAACAAGTGAAACTCCAAAAATCGATAACATTTTTATTTATCTACGTTTCGACTATATTTCAGTCATCATCAGGATAAACTAGCTAGGTTATATATCAAAAGTGGTATTTATATGAAGAAATATGATACAACAATTATCAATGAATTAATTAAATATGATTAGTTCTTTAGAAGCTTTAAGTCCATGAAAAACCTGAAAAAAACCTGAACTTAATCCTGGACTTAAAGCTTCTAAAGAACTAATTATATTTAATTAATTCATTAATAATCAACCTAATTATTGTATCATATTTCTTCATATAAATACCGCTTTTGATATATAACCTAGCTAGTTTATCCTGATGATGACTGAAATATAGTCGAAACGTAGATAAATAAAAATGTTATCGATTTTTGGAGTTTCACTTGCTTTATATTTTATTAAAATCCCTTATGGAACTTTCACCTGACTCAACTAACCCTATAAACACTAATTTAACTGAACTAATATTTAGAAATTGTAAAATAATTGATAGGTCAGACCACTGGTCTCTGTTGTTATTTAAGGAGTCTCTTGCTATACGCAGAACACATGATCTCAACCACGCCGGTGCGAAAGCTTCCAAGTAACTTCTCATATTTCATTGACATTAAGCTCCGCCTTTGTTGGCTTTAAAATAGCTGCATTTGTACAGTTTTACACTATTATTAATCCTGAGGATGACTACAACCTAGTCGGAACGTCGATTAAAAATCTTAATATTTTCTTAAAGACCATGTAAAGTCCGTTCTGCGCATACGTTCTGCGCAGGCTTACATTCCAATGGTTGGGACCCGACCGTTGGAATGTATTAATATTTCGTATCTTTTGAACTTTCTTGAATTGAATCTCTAGTCTGTAGTATTCATTTACAAGTAGCGAACCAGAAGAGTGTTAAAAATTCAGTATAATATATATCTAATATTTCATATTTTACAACTGTAGCACTGAGTTCAAAATGTAAACAAAGCGTTTGTTTACATTACGGCTTTACATGGTCTTTAAAATACTGAGTAGTTCCCGTAATTATATGGCATAAAATGTTACTAATTAGTCATCCAGGCAAACAAACACGAGCACAATGCTACTGAGGAGCTATAAATACGAAATCCAGCCAAACACTGCATTCTTGCTCAGTTCTATTGGTCAGACTTGTGGTAGCGTTCGTCCCACCCCATCCTCGTCCCCAGGGCCTTTCGACCGCGCGCGTCCTCCCTAGGCCCTGGTACACATGGAACCGGAAGTGCAAGAAAACTCAAAAAAGCTCTTGAATTGTAGCACCCGTAACAATTTTCACAGTGAAGTATTATGAAGAAACGAAGTATTTGTGTTGACATATGTTAATAGAGTAATTTTGCCTAGCGAAAACTGCTCAACTTCTGTGAAATAGCAGTTCTTTGAGAAGGTAATCAGATCTCTCCCTTTAGTCGTCTAACCCAGACTGAGCCCAATTTTCAACTAGTGACCGAGTGGAAATGTTTCTGGGGACGAGAATGGGCCCACTCAAGAACCCGACCCTTCACGTTGGTCGTACTCAGAATTCCGCACCGTCTGAGCCAAGCTGTTCCAGCTTGTCCCGACTACGCAGGCCAATATTTTCTCCTATTTTAACTGAGCATGAATGAGAGATTGAGAGTGTTAATCAATAGAATACTAACGCAAATCTGAATATTTGCTAGACTCTAAAACTATTCCATTCTGACACTGCAGAGAACAACGAAAAATTCGTTGTCTCGAGCGGGATTCCAACTTGTACCTAAAAATCAACATGCATGGATTGCTATTTGCTAGCGAGTTAATTTTATCCAACCCAAAGTTTTTTGATAATTTTTTTTTTGATAATATTTAATTAGGAAACCGACGTCACAAGAAGTGTTTTTCAGATGGTTCCTGCAAAACATTAAAATACAAAGTATACAATAGTATATGTAGTGTGCATGAACGAAATATTTTCGTGTATCTATGAGTGTCGTCACGAAACTATTTTGTACACATGAATTGAATAAAAACAACTTGGACCTCTCTTGTCCTTTATCTATTTATCAACAATTTGTCTTGTTTCTTGCATACTCAGCCGGATTTATCTCTCTTTGCCGATGATACTACTCTTTTTCATCTCGATTCCAACCAAACTTTGGCCGTTCACTGAGAAGAACTCTCAGAGGACCTCAACAATGTTTCGACTAGATAGACTTTCGTATGTCATTAAGTCATAAAAAAACGAAATTTGTCAGGTCTAACATTCGATAGTCTCATGTGGGGCAACCAAGTGCAACCAGATTCGATATGTTTAAATGTATTCTATCCTCATTTATTATATCGTAGTCAATCCTCGCCTCACTCTTTTGGGTTAAACATTGTAATTAGATATTGTGGTGTATATTTAAATTTTAATTTCCTTTAAGTTTATCATACACTTCATTAGCGAAAGCCATCCGTTCGAAAAAGCACCAAATGCATTAATGTTTTGACGCCTTATTCAAAAACTGTACCGAGCCACCTTAAATAAAAAACTAGGTTTCACTTTACGAATCCCGCTTGAGACGAAATTGATGAAACAGTTTTTCATTCACTCTAACAAGTAATATTTCATTATTTAAAATTAATTAAAACAATTGCATGAAAAAGCTATAATCAGATTTCCAAACCTGTAGCCATTATTCTTTAATCTTTATATATTTCAATTTTACATGAAGATTCCATATCAAGTTTCTTTTTTCAACTTGAACAGCCTCAGGCCCCAGGCGAGCACTTCGGTTTTATTGCAAGTCTAAAAATATTGTGTGTATACTTATAATTAACTAGTATTACTTATAATAATTAGCCTTTCTCACGTCGCCATTTTTGGGGTACTGCCTTTTCCAAATCTGAGATTGTACGCAGTGAATAAGGGAGTTGTATAACTATTATTGTGAGTATAATTATTGTAAGTTAATTTACAATTAGATATTTGAAAAAATGTTTTCACATCGCTTCGGTTTTTCACGTCGATTTCAAAAAAGTACCCCCAAAATGGCGAACTTGGCCTTCGTGAGAAAGGCTAATTGACAAGTACTAAGGGGGGAGGTTGAAAATTTTCCCGAAATTTTCACAAACTTTCTATTAATGTACCGTAATTTGTTAACTTTTCCGGTAATTTTCGTAAATTTAGCAAACTTTTTGCTACAACTATCGCTTTTTATTCCGAGCCACTCTTAGGTACAAGCCGAGTCAGGCAGACATTTGCCGAGTCCGTGATGAATTGGTGTGTTACAACCCTTCACACACCACCCTCTAGCTACGCTTCTGTGCACACGAGCAACAAAATTTGTCAAGTGAAATTTGTCAAGGAAAAACCAGTCAACTGTACACACGAGATGGTAAATGTATCCGTGTTTGGACTACTTATTTACAAAGGATAAACTTCGTACGGTTCCCAAAATTGGGCGCAGTGTAAAAATTTTAAAAAGGGCCTTGCCCTTGGTTAATCAGACCGCACTTCCAGAGGGATACGGAGCATAATTCACCAGATAATTTCGACGTTTAAGCCAATCTAAATTGACATTTCTTGTATTTTAACTGGACAAACCTTTTTAGAGTTTAAAAGATTATAAACATGATAGAATATACAATTGACATTAAACATTTCAGCTGCCCTATACAGTAGTCAGTACTGATATACGAGCTTACGAGCTTGTAGGATGAATTACACTCAATCACCCCAAATTGATCGGTACAAGTACGATGGGTAACAACAAATATGCAGATATGCTACAGTTGTTTTATATCAATGTTTGATCAACACAACAATAAATACAAGATGACTAGAGGGCACTCGAAGACTCCATTTCTCCGTCAGCGAGTTAAAAAGTTATATATCATGAAATTATTTTATACAATGTCAGTTTACTCTGCCCGTCAAAGCAAAACACACTTTTGCTAATTTCTCATCCAATTTTTATCTACTGTCTGTACTGTATAGTCTATTTATGAGTATAGTGCTCTTCAGTGTGACCAGATTTTTTCAGCAGTCATTACCAAAATTTTGTTCAAATTTTACTAAATTAAAAATTTTTTACCAAATGTCGCCTTCCCAAATAATTACGTCATAGTAATTAAAAAAAAACAATAGTTACGTCATCAAAGTAGAAAAAATTTGCCCAAAAAGGTATGTCGAAATACTTGTTGCTTTCATCGTATTGCAGTTTTTGCTAATGATAAGGCTTTATTTCTTAAGCTTGGCAGTTCTGTTCATCACTTTGAGCACGTTTTTAAACAAGAAACACACATTTTACCAAAATGATTATTAATAATTAAAACTTTCAGATTTTACCAAAATTTTACCAAAAAAAAACTTATTACCAATTTTTCTTGAAAATTCACAAAATTTTACCAAAAGTAAAACTTTTTACCAAATCTGGTCACACTGGTGCTCTTGAAATTTAGGTCTGTGGCAAATCCACCGCTTTTATTTATTTATTTATTAATTTTATAGCCCGCGTGCAGGCCCAAGGGAACTGATAGTGGGCCTGCAAGCAAGGCCCGGTATTTTGTAAAACGCCCCTTTTCATAACACGCCCCATTCGCGCGTCAATTGTCAAAAAAGAACCAATGACAGCACCCAAATATTAACAAACAAACTCGCATTAAAATGTTGCGGGGTTTTCTCTGCTTATTCAGAACACAAACAATGTATAAATGGCTGCGTTGGCTCCAAAAAAGCAAGCAACGCAGTCAGTAATTGCCAAATTTGCAAGTGCTCATTTTCAACTAAAATCGGAACAGGCAAATTAGGGAAGTAGGCCGTAGGATGAGCATCCAAAAGATGCTTAGAAAACGGATTCCGTTGCACCCCTCGTGTAACTACGTAATTTTCACATGAATAAATAGATAAAAACTTACTTTATCAAAATCCGTTGCTCCCCAAGCGAAACAGGTGCACAATTGGGAGAAAAATCCCTCCAAAGTTTGATATTTTCGCGCTTCGAAATATTCGAACCGCCATTGTTTTGATAGCAAATACGCATGCGCAACTCACCCAAACTCGCACTGCGCACGCGCACAACGAACGCACATGCTTCGAAGTGGAAACACGCTCAGTTATGCAAATAAACATGGCTGAAGATATTTATAAAACTCGAATATCCTCATGTTTTATGCATTTTGATGCCGTTACGGAGCAACTTTGCAAAGTTACACGCCAAAGGCTTAAGAAATTTCTTGAGTGCAGGTCAAAATGGGCCAAACTTAAATGTCAACAAGCTGAAATAGCTAAGAAATCGTACGAGAACATCGATGACGGATCTGTCAATTCATAAATGGAGAAGAATCCTGATACCATTAACTTAGAATGGAACCATCATCAGGTAAGGTTTATCATCATCATTATCATCATCAGGTTTGGTTTTAAAATATATTGAATTGTGATCAATTAAGTTTACTTAAGGTAAAGTAGTTTCTATGCTACAAACATCCAACCTTGTTATTATTTTGTTTCACACCAGGCAGCTAAGTAGAGAAGAAGAACCCCACTCATGTTGGCAGAAACAATTGATGCTGGTCTTCTACGTACAGCTGCCGAGAGAAAGAATGATCAACAGATACTCATGCAAATCCAGGGGAAAGACTGTGTAGCTCTGGAAATCCGCTATCACAAAGTTTGCTACTGCAATTTATATACAATATTTCTCACCAGAGAGACGAAGAAGCAACAAGAGCATCAGTGTACGAGAAGTCTTATGATGTATTCTGTAAAAAAGTGATTGAGATGGCACAGGACGAAAAATTAGATTTGCTCCAACTTTGCAACCCCCTGCAAAGGTGCCATTGCCGTAATCGCATCAAATTTGCTATTGTGCAAATTTTGTTCAAATTTGGAAAGCAAATTGGTCAATAAATTTTTACCCTCATATTGGTAAATACAAATCTCTTTTTTGAGAGGGAATGGGTATAGGATAAATTTGGCTCAAATTACCTTTCACAAGTGAATTTGTGGGTATTTTCGTCCATAATTTTGGTTTCTAAATTTGCCAAAATATTTGCAACCTTGCAAATTTGATGCGATTACGGCAATGGCACCTTTGCACCGGGTTGCAAAGCCTAGTGCAAATCTGTTTTTTCGC